CTTCGAAGGTGAGGACGAAGGGCTTCGTTCCTTCGAAGCCTTTCGAAGGCTCCTTCGTTCTTATGAGCCGAAGGGGGGGGCTTCAAACCTTCAGCGCGAAAGGGGCTTTGAAGCCTTCCCTTCGACCTTTTGCTCGAAGGCTTGGAAGGCTTCAAGCGATCAAAGGTCGACTAAGGTTTGAAGTCACGAAATCAATTTTTCTCAACTTCTTCAAAAGCACAAATCACGGCTCTTTCTCCAGTTCAGACTTCACATTCTAAACATTACTCACTTCACTTCGTTCGTCTCTGCCTCCTGCAGCGTTTTTTGAAACTGGCTCATTTTCGCGTTGGTTTTGACAATGGAACGGCTTTTAAAAAATTTAAGTTTGGGAAAACCAAGCACATCCATGCCGCACTCGAACAAGGCTTCGATTGAAGGGGGTTAAGGGAGTTTATTCTAAATTCCACTCTTGACCAGCCCCTTGCCAGCCTTCGCTCGCCAGGGGGAGAAGGCGCCTCTTCTGGCGCTCTATTTGCATTGTGCCTGTTTTCAGTGTGCTTGCAACTTTCTTGCCAACCCCAAAAAGTCCTGAGTGCTGTTGCTACGGCCCTGGCGCTTGTGTGGAACTGTCTCTACGGACGCGTTGAGCAGACTGAGGTTCCTTGCCTTACGGCCTACCCATACTTTCGCTTCATGTCTGCACCAGATGTGGCGCAGCAATCACCATGCTGGCCTTGCGATAAGTTGTCTTGCAACAAGGGCTCTGCGCTGGCGGTTGCTTCTTTGTAGTCACGACTTCTTTTTTTCGCTCGCTGGCCTGTACAGTTTGGCTCACTTCGTTTTACCTGTTATGTCGAGCCCAACAAGACCGACCTACTGCTACTGATGAAGTAAAAAGGCGTCAGTGCAAAAAAAATCTCTAGTTTCAAAGAATAAAACCCAAAAAAAACAAAACAAGATTGAGGAAGCTGGAATTTGGAATACATTCCCTTCTTTCTTTTCGTCAAAGGAAATAAATGTTTTACTTCTTTCGAAAAAAATAAAAATCCAAAACCAAATCCAAAATGAATAACAAGATTTAGGCGGATGGAGTTTAGAATATTCCCTTCTTTTGCTTTGGTGAGGAAAATGTGTTGAGAGTTACTTACCTGGTTTAATCACAAAAAAGTCCAAAAAAAAACACAAAACACATAACAAGATTTAAGAGCGGTGGAATTTAGAATAAATTCCTTTCTCTCTCTTTTCAAGAAAGTTAGAGTCTCACTTCTCAGTTTCGAAGATAGCTACACGAGGCTGCCGTCGGCGCTGTGTGAGTCCGGGCGTTCTCACAAAGCTATCAGGGAGAGTACTCTATTTGGACGCTCCTTGTGTTTGCGCCGAAAGTTTTGAGGCTCGACCTCATGGCCATGGGGCGGGTCTGAAGCGCTGCTTGCAAGGCCATATTCTTACAGCCCCGCGTAGCGGCCGATTTTTTTGAGACGGCACAAGAGTTCCAAACCTGTCGGCGTGGCATGTTTAGCCTGGTGCAGTTCAAGGCCCCCAAGGCTGCTTAACGGTCTGCAGCCAACCGCGCGTCAAGTGTAAGAGTCAAGGGGCCTTGTAACTCGGAGCCCCGCGCAGCGGCCGATTTTTTGTGGTTATTCTTTGAAACCAGAGAAGTGAGACTTTTTTAAAGGAGCTTAAGGACAATTTCACCCCGCTCGCTTCTTTGTTTTTGTGTTCATTAATCGATTTTAAGGAGCAAAGAGTTTATAGCAGTGACGTGGCGTGGGGCTAAGCCAAAAACCCCATGTTTTGTTTCAGAAATGATTTATGTGCTTCCACGCGAGCTTGCCCGGCAGAAACAAGCGGCGGGGTTGGAAGGAACGCCCCCATTTGCATAGCAGTGACGTGGCGCGGAGCTAAGCCGAGAACCCCATGTTTTTGTTTTGTTTTGGACATAAATCCTCCCAGCAGGAACTGAGCCTCTTAGAGGTCTTAAACTGCTGCTCGAACCCCTCCACAAAAGGCCAGCGAGTCTTCGACCTCTTAAACTGCTGCCTAAATCCTCACAGAAGGCCCAGCAAGTATTGCGCCTTTTAAACTGCTGCCCAAACCAAGGCCCAGCAAGTATCAGGCCTCTTAAACTGCTGCCTAAACCCTCCGCAGAAGGCCCAGCAAGTATTACGCTTTTTATTGCTGCCCAAACCCTCCAAAAAAAGCCCAGCAAGTATTAGGCTTCTTAAACTGCTTAAATTGCTGCCCAAAGGCCCAGCAAGTATTAGGCCTCTTAAACTGCTGCCGAAACCCTCCACAGAGGGGGGGGGTTGGTTGCAGCTTCAGGGGGGAACTTTAGGGGGGGCTTTAAGGGGGCTTAAAAAGAGGGGCTGGCAGGGGGGCTTAAAGGGGGGCTTAAAGGGGGGCTTAAAGGGGGTTTAAAGGGGGGCTTCAAGGGGGGTTTAAAGGGGGGCTTAAAGGGGGGGGCTTCAAGGGGGCTTTAAGGGGGGGCTTAAGGGGGGGCTTACGGGGGGCTTAAAGGGGGGGCTTAAAGGGGGGGCTTAAGGGGGGGCTTAAGGGGGGGCTGAAGGGGGGCTTAGGGGGGGCTTGAGGGCTTTGACCCTTTGCCCCCCCCCCCCTCCGAAGGGACCCCCTTTGCAGGGACCCCCTTGAAGGGGGGCTTAAGGGGGGCTTAAAGGGGGGCTTAAAGGGGGGCCCCCCTTTGCCCGGGGGGGGGGGGGCCCATCCTCGTGAGCAGGCAAAAGTTTCTTCGTGCTGTGAGGAGCACAGGTTGTGGAAATGCCGGCTCTAAGCACGCAAGAGCAGAGAGAATGACAGAGAGTGCAGAGTAGAAAGATAGTGTGCTTGCCACTGTGAGACTCTTGTACCCATCTCTTTGATCACTGCAACGCCAACTTCTCCATTTCCCTTGTCTGAACTTCCAGGAATGAAGAAACAGGGCTGGAGCTTTACAAGCGGTTCGCATTGACGATGCATACACCACAACTCTTGCAGCCGCTCTGTCGCCGTGCAAATCCAAGTCCATAAGGGCAAAGCACGCATCTGGAACTCGGCCGGTGAGGAACCCACGCATTGCAGACCTGAGCGGAGATTAACTTCTTGAAGAGGAAGCATAAGTGTGCATTGAATAACGTGTTTGCCATCATGCCCAACTTGAAGCATGTGGAAGGTCTTGCTGTGTTGCTTGGTGTGCGCAGCGTCCTAAGAACAGTTTCTTGCCACAGAACTCTTCCCTGAGTCTACAGTGCGCCCGTTTTTAAGAAAAGCCAAGAGCCAAAAACCTGGTTACCCGTTTGCTTGTTTGCCAATGTCGTATGGCACAGAAGCGGCCCTGCAGAAACTGGAACGGTCTTCTGCGCTGAACGAATCCAGGCCACACAGTTTCCAGCTTGGGAGAAGGCTTGATTCAATTATAAATGCAATATCTCAACGCGGACTGCGCCTTTTCGTGCAAGGTCGGACAGGTATGAGGTCAAAGTTTCATCTTCAACTCGCCAACACACCTAAAGTGTGCTCAGCCTCTCTGGCATCACTTTGTGCTTTTGGACACACCACCTCGATGGCACACAACGTGCAAAGCTTGCTTTTCAACACCTTGGGGAAGAGAGGAGGGCAAAGGGGAGGCAGAGAGAGGAAGAGAGACGGAGGAGAGGAAAAGAGGAAAGGAGAGGGGAGGAGAAGGAGGAGGAGAGGAGAGGGAGGGGGTGGGGGAGGAGAGGGAGGGGGGGGGGGGAGGAGAGGGAGGGGGGGGGAGGAGAGGGAGGAGGGAGGGAGGGAGGAGAGAGGGGGGAGGAGAGGGAGGGAGGGAGAGGGGGGAGGAGAGGGAGGGAGGAGAGGGGGGGAGGAGAGGGAGGGAGAGGGAAGAGGGAGAGGGGGAAGAGGGAGGGGGGAGAGAGGGAGAGGGGGAAGAGGGAGAGGGAAGAGGGAGAGGGGGAAGAGGGAGAGGGGGGAGAGGGAGAGGGGGGAGAGGGGGGGAGAGGGAGAGGAAGAGGGAGAGGGAGAGGGAGAGGGAGAAGGGAGATGAGGGTTGAGGAGGGCACGAGTGATGAGGATAGGAGGACTTCCAAGGGGGACATGGAACTCTACGAAAATCGATCTACGGACCTGCATTCTCCGGGACGTTGACCTCCGTGTCGGGTACAAGTTCGAGAACACACCAAAAACCTACCAACGCACACGCCTGTCCAGGGTCAGTGTCAGTTCTCCGATGCCCATACCTTGGGCTGCGGAGCTTGGTTTGGCTGCGGCTAAACACCAAATCCAAGCAGCCAATGGCTAGAACGTCGAAAGGGTCACTTGGGCTGGGCCAAAGTGGGTTGGGAACATTTGACGGACCAAGCCAATTGGTAGACTTCGGGGGCAATCTTTTTGATGTGACATGTTCAACAAATGCGGCTTTGTCAGCGGACGGTAGCCCGACATGCGAATGAGGGTGTATTGTTGAACGTGAGCGTCCCAAATCAGGGAAGTTCCATCGCCAAAACTTCCGTGAGCAGGGCGCAGCAAGGCATCAACTGTGTAACCGTTGGGCCCAAGCTCACATCAACTTGTTGTCCAGGGCCACGCCTGAAGGTGCTAAGGCCTAAATCATTTTGTTTGTTGTTCTCCATGGCCCCGCTGTGATTGGGTATTCCTTTGTTCGAGGTTTGGACGTGGAACCAGGTCGCCCTTTTCCTTCGGCCGCCTTTTCAGGAATGGACAAGAAGGATTGGATGCGGCATTGTTCGCCTGCCAGAACCCGACGAAATCAGTGGCGGGCCTCCAGTCTCAAGCTGAAGCAGAATCTACGCAAGTTGCTGGAACGCAGGCGTCAGCCCGATCTGCTTGAAGACGTGAGCAGGCCACGAGAAACTGCCGCTAGCTTACTCAGAGACCAGCTGCAAAGCCTTCTTGCAATTTCTTGCCTCCCAGTGGCCTGCTTTTTTCGAGATTGGATGAGTCCCAAACGCATGTGCGGAGGCAGGTTCAGGGACCTGTTCCCTATTCCTCCTTTGGCTGTCTGGCCGCGGTGTGTTTCGGTGATGGAGATGGAGACCGACGTGTGTCTGCAAGTGAGCAATATGTGCATAGGCGCATTGAACTTTCTGTATTCTGGCTTCAGGCCAGCTCTTTCTGGAGGTGCAATGAACAAGTTCCCCTCAACTGCTCAGCAGACCTCGCAACGACACATCTGCAGCAAGGTGGTTCGTTTTTTGGGCCGGCTTGTTCAGGAGTTGGGAAACGCTCTTCCCTGGCAAAGAAGCTTCCAGCAGTGCGAAGTCTCGGCGACCCCAAGCTATGAGGACATTTGCAGCGACAGGGTGGACTTGCCTGCGCAGGCAGCTTCTTGCGACCCCAGCGGAATCATTTCCAAGTGCCTTTCAAGTCAAATTGCAGATGCTTCTTGCATTTTCCCAGCAGGTGTGGTTTCTGCTCACTTAGCTGTTCCGCAGAATAAGAGAAGCGAGTACCTCAAACTTACCTGCAGAGAGTTGGAATGTGGCAAGCTGCGTCTGCGTCGGCAAGTGTGCGGAATGGGCGGAGTGTTCGCTGTCGGAAAGCGAGGCGGCAGACAGCGCAAGATATGGGACGGGGCTGGCCTTTCTCAGATGGCAGCTGCCCCGCCGAAGCCCAGACGGCTCGCCAACCCATCCTCTTTCCTGGATGTGCAGTTCGACGTCGGACAACAGGTGTTCTTCTCGAAGCGTGATGCATCAACCTTCTTTGACGCCTTGCAGGCCCCTGAAGTGCTGCAGCCCTTTTTTGGGCAGCCCGCAGTGACAGCCCAGGAGCTTCTGGATCATGGGATGACACGCGATGCCATCGCCAAAGCCTGTGACGACTCTGTGAGCGCTGACGTGAGTGGCCACCTTTACCCGGTGCACGCAGTTTGGCCCATGGGTTTTGCTTGGTCGAGCGCGGTGGCGCAAGACACCACGCTCGCGGTCTGCGCTTCTGCGGGCATTGCAGAGGAAAGCATCCTCTCGCTCGACCATGACGTGCCCGTGAAGCAGGATGAGCTCTGCTTTGTGGCGACTGACGACACCGTTTTACTGCACACCAGCAAAACCAGGGGCCAACGCACGCTTGCTAACCTTGACGCCGCTTTCGCCGAGCATGGCGTGCCGAGAAACGTGGCAAAGGACGTTTCCCTGGCAAATGAAATCACCGCTCTTGGGTGCGATTTGTCGAGCACTCCCGCCGCCAAGCCTGTCGAGGGGTGCGCAGCTGCAAGTACTCCGGCTTCCGTTTCGCCTTTGCTGCCCTTGCCCAGCTCTTCTACTTCAGCGCGGCAACCCCGGTTGACTGCGGACTTGGGTCGGGGCAGCAAGGTGGACGGATCGCTTGGGGAACGCACTCCGCGCATCCCTCCTAGCTGTCCTGGGACGGTAAGAGCCGAGCCTGGTGCGGCCAAGATAGCCCAAGCCGTGTGCAGAACGCTCGGGCTCTTGCGTGCGAACTTTGCCAGTCCGAAAGCATTTCATTCCTTGCTGGGCGTGTGGGAATGGTTTGCGCTTCTGCAGAGAGGTTTCTTCAGCATCTACGATGGGGTGTACTCTTTTGCGCGCAAAGAGCCGGCTACTGAGTTGACCAGGGTGCCGGAAGCAGCTTTGAACGAGATGCTTGTTACTCTGCTTCTTGCCCCGCTTCTCTCCGTCGACTTGGACAGACAGCCGCTGCAGCAACTCGTGGCGACTGATGCTGCCCCGCAGTTCGGCTTTGGAGTGTCCGTGGCTTCTTGCAGCAGGCAGGAGGCAGTGGAAATCTGTGGCTTCGCCGAGAGGCGTGGCGATTACGTGCGCCTCACCACTAGTCCAGATGATCCCGTTGAAGTTCCTCGTTTGGGTGTGCCAAGCAGGCTTTCAGCCACTGAGAAGGACTTCAAGACCGTCATCAGTTCCAAAGCAAAGTGGCCTGCGCACTCTGGCGTCTTGGAGGCCCATGCTTACTTGCTCGCGCTGAGATGGGTCGCACGCCACGCGGCCAAGCACGGCAGCAAAGTACCGCTGCTGGTAGACGCCAAAGTGGTTGTGGGGGCTGTGACCAAAGGACGCAGCTCTGCAAAGGCCTTGCGGCATGCTTTGCGATCCGTAGCGGCAGTTTCCATGGCCGCAAACCTTCTTCCGCGAGCAGTGTATATCCCTAGCGAGTCTAACCCTGCTGATGCACCGTCTCGCGGAAAACGGAACAAGCCAAGAAGCGACCGGTTCTGTAAAAGGACCAGCGTCAAGCGCCGCCTTCTGTCAAACCTGCAGCAACTGGTGTGAGCCTCCGCCTTGTACAGCTCCTTGCCGCTGACTCTCCGCCGCAAAGCACCGGGCATGAAGCAAGCTGCTGCCCCTTCCTTGCGGGGTGGTGGTCTTTGACAGGCTGCTGGAGAAGCCTTTTTGCTGTGTTTTGCGGTAGGGGTCACACGATCTGCTCCACTCGTGTACGTGTTTTGAATTCATTCTTTCTATTTCAAGGATGCCTGTAGCTCATTTTGTGAACCTGTGCCAGACTGGCTGCCAGAGTATCTTGTTTCGGCAGCAGAGTACGCTGCCAGTGCGGGGTTTTGGGCAATGTCTGAACGGACGTGGCCTCCTCAGATGTGGTGAGCTTCTTTGTTTCTGCAGGATCTCTAAACGACAGCGGCAAGCAAACTGGCAAAACTTCCTGTCATGAGCTGCAGGTCTTCAGAGGACTTGCGTAGAGCGACACTCTCAACAATGAGGGTGTATTGTTGAACGTGAGCGTCCCAAATCAGGGAAGTTCCATCGCCAAAACTTCCGTGAGCAGGGCGCAGCAAGGCATCAACTGTGTAACCGTTGGGCCCAAGCTCACATCAACTTGTTGTCCAGGGCCACGCCTGAAGGTGCTAAGGCCTAAATCTTTTTGTTCCCAGCCCACCCGCCCGGGCAATGTCTGAACGGACGTGGCCTCCTCAGATGTGGTGAGCTTCTTTGACTTGCGTAGAGCGACACTCTCAACAATGTGGTTTCTCAGTCATTGGTATCCTTGAGTAGTTCGAAAAAAACCAACCCGAAACCAGCCATAGATAGAATATGAAGTCTTCAATGTTTTTATCCATGGGTTCCGCCATGCCCGGGGCATACCAGGACTCTGCAAACAAAACGCCCACACACAGAAAAGACACCTCCTTCTGGAATGGAACTTTGCCATCCAGCTCCACCTCGGGTTTCAGACAATATCCAGGGGTCTTGGCAGACGTTTCCAGCAGGAGTGTTTATGGTAAAATTCTGGGATGTTCCCCCTTATACTAAGAGTCCTTCATAGGGATTATTGTAGGGGGTACTATAATCCCTATTCAGGACTGTTAGTATAAGCGGGAACATCCCAAGTAAAATAGGTCGCGTTGTGGATCCGGCTTTTTTGGCCTTCACGGGGCTCCTTCATTTAGGAGGCTGCAGTCAGTGGCTTGAAGGTACTGGAAAGGCCTGCCCTTATTGTAAAATCAATTGGGGCTTCATGCAACGGAACCGACCCCAGAGATGGAATCTAAACTCTATAAACTTCAACCCTAAGCCATCCCAAGCCCTACATGGGCATTGAAGCATGAGTTGCGGAGCAGAGCGGCGCCCGCCAGCCTTAAAGCCTCTGTCTGCGTGAACGTGCCTCCTGGAAATACGGACATAGGATTGTGTTAAAGCTTCCCGCTTCAAAGGGCTGGCATGTACACCCCGCTGCAAGCCCCAACCATATTCAATGTATGGGGTCGGGAAGCCATCCAGATTTCGACAAATGCTCCCTGGGCATGTTCTGTCTATGGGGCCAGGAAACAACCCGGATTTCAAAAGCAAATTTGCAGCCCGCGGGATTCGACACATCGAACGGTGGTTTGTTTGAGCAGAGTTTCGCAGATGAGAGTCAACATGATGTTCGTGGCGCTTGGAACTGCTGGCTCAATTTGTTGGCTCAGAAAAATGCTTGTTTCTCTCACCCGCGATCTCTAGCCCGGCTTGTTCTATGCCGGGGCCATGCAAGCCAATGAGCGGCCGCCAATTGGCAAAGGATGGCCGCCAATGGGCAAGGGAAAATGGCAGCCGCCCATTGGCAAGGGCCGGCCTGGCATGTTTTTGTTTTTGTAAAAGGCTTGAGAGCTGTAAAGCTGTTGTGCAGCCTTTGCATGATGCTTGCTTGCAAAAGGTGCCATGCCGATGGGCAAGGGCAAGGGGCCAGGGAACTTCGGACCGGGGCCTGCAGGCAACTGTGGCATGTGCAGTATTCCTTGTCAACATGAATGTGCAGATTCCCATGAGAATTCTAATGTTTTTTCCATCGCATTCCATTGCTTCGCTGGGAGTTTGTAGTGAGGCGTCATGCCGCCACCACCGGTGCCTGCCAATCGAAAGACACAGCTTTGTGCCGAAGCCTCGGTACTTCGAAGTGGTTTTTTGAGGTCTTGTGAATCAACAGTTTGCCCTTTTGCTAAATATGCTGCTTCAGGTCTACTTCAAGGAAGGACGATGTACGCGTGGAACTTCTTGCAGCCGGCTGCCCACCTTTCTTGCCTGAATCTGCTTTGTTTTCCGTCAGATTCTGCTGATTGCGTGTGTCAGATTACGCGCACGGCGAGCATGAGCTGGTGGAGAGGGGTGTGCCCAGCAGCTTCCGAGCAAATAGGATCGATTTTGGATTTTGTCTTGTTTCTTGGAACTTCTAAACCTCCGCGTTTTCGGACCTCCCCCCTCGAAAGCTTTCATGAGGCAGACCACCGCCGCCTCCTCGGGAAGTGCGGCATCCAGTTGGCAACAGATTCGACGTGCCTGCCTCAACCTGGAGTGCAGTTCGCTGGTTCTGTTTAAGGATGGTACATGCAATGTGCCACCGTAGATGCAAGCAACAATCAGCTTCTTCAGTACTTTTTTGTTTGGATTTAAAACCCATGCTGCTGATACTTTGTAGATTGTCGTGCCGCGTGTGCACCATCGATAGTTCCCACAGCGGTGTTTTTTTTTTTTTTTTTTTTTTGCACGCTGCACACCTGTTCCACAATAGCGCATGTATTTTGTTGCAATAATTGCTGTCGTGGATGCTTACTCAGGTGAGATCTGGCCCACAGGCTGACTCTTGAAACTGTCATGAGTCCACAGGATCAAGATTTGTGGAGACCATAACTCCAAGGAGTGTGTCACCCAAGGCGTCGTGAATGCAGAATCCTTCCACAGTGGCCGGAGGTAAACTACGAAGGTTTCAGTCAATGTTCTTGGTTTTGCTGGGGTTGGGGGGTCATGTTCCTCCTGGCGGTGACAGCTAGCCGCAAGCAGCCGGCTCTCCCTTGCTACGCCGGACTTGATTCGTGCGTTGACTAAGGGATCTGGCCAGAAGTGTGTTGGGTTCACGTGGCCATGAAGGTCCACCGGCCGCCCCGAGACATGCGACCTTCGTCTAGATCGAGGCTGTTGGAACTGTTGAAGGACGATGAGGGAAGCACGTGCTCTTGGGCCGCAGGTCACAAAGACGACTTAGAAAAGTCGTTTTTGCCAAGTTGCGGCCTTAAAAGTCTTCCGGGCTGCAGGTAAGTCCAGGTAAGCACGGAGAGAAGTGGAGCCCTTAGAGGCAATCTTTTGTATCGCCCCCATCAACAAGGTCCGAAGCAGTGGGTGCTGTCGAGCGGTTGCGGGCACAGCTTAAGGTAGATCCAAGGTACCCTGCAAGTCAAGTTTCACTCGGAGACATGGTCGCCGTGTGATGCCAAGGCCAGACTGCTCACTCCGCCAAGCAACCGAGCAGGAACCTGTGCGCATCCCGGAAACTTCGAGCCACACGTGGGGATTTGAGCGAACCCTGGAGTTTCAGGAGATTCCCAGAAAACAGCCAGAAAACATTCCACCATCTTCAACTTTGCCAGGCCACCGATTTGCCCGAGCCGAATCTGGCGAACGGGCTCCTTACTGGGATTCCGTTGCGTTGTGTGGGTGAGAAGCGCTGCCGTGCTGTGGCAGTGAGGTCTGCACCGAAGGTTGCTGAGGCCGAGGAAGGTGAGGCGCAGGCCGGCATCAGAGTCTCGCAGTTTGGCCAAAGCATCGGCACAAGCATGGGGGAAACAAGCTTTCGCATCTTTCGCCAGCTAGAAACACCCTGATTGATTGTTCATAGTTAATTCGCGTTTGATTTGTGTGCAAGTCGGAGGAAAGCACTGCGCCCGAAAATGGCGACAAACCCAAGGAAGCAGAGGCAGATTGACCGAAGGAATCTTCTGCTGCTGTTGTTTGACGGCATCTGGTCTTTTGCTTCTTAATTACTCGCTCAGCCTGGAAGGGTATAGATGTGGACGTTGAAGCAGAAGCAGAGGCACCAGAATTGCTGGAAAGATGTAGCAGAGATGTTCGGGACATGCTCTGGAAGAGGCTGCGGAGCAGGAGCCACCGCCGGGGCCCGACTCGATTCTTTGAGCGTTGGGCTGCAGAGTGGACGGAGAAGTAGCCTCAGAAAGAGTTGGCCCTTTCAACTTCTTTTTTTGGCGGTTTCCTTGCATCGTGATCTGTTTGCATCCAAAGAACTTTCAGTCTAAAGCTTTGTAGACCTTCCTCTTCATTGCAGATGGCAGCAACTTGGCCAGGAAGGGTGCCCCTGCCGCGGCACCTGCTCCTGTTGTGGCATCCTTCCTCCTCAATGAGGACAGACTTCTGCATCGAGAGAAACCCTCAACCCTGAACCCTCAACCCTAGACCCTAAACCCTAAACCCTAAACCCTAAACCCTAAGTGGACCCATATGGGACCACCCCAGGATGGTGCTGGGGAGCTTAGCCAGATGTATGGTCAGGGGGCCAAGAGCACAAATTCGGACAGCGAGTGGCAGGTTGTTGGCCAAAATCTATCCAAGTATGACCTTCTCGTCTTCTTGTCTCCTCTTTGGGGAGCTTTTCTGGAGTTTCTCGCCATGTGGCTGAGGCCTCGGAGCGCAGCTGCTCCGGAGCCGCAGTCTTGAAGTGCCTGCCAAAAACAGTTTGAGAAAGCGCCATGAAGCGGGAAAAACCAGCATGTTGCTGGTTTACTATCTGTGACACGGTGATAAATTCGTGCAAGCTCGCACAGCACAGCGAACTACAGAACCAGTTGTTCCCTCACCCCGCTGTTTCAGGGATAACTGGACCACTGCAATTGGTGCAGTGCAACATGTTCTCGGCCTGGCAATCCACCAGTGCCATTGCGTGTCATAGGATCTGCTCTTCTCTTTCATGCTTCCCCTGTGTGAGGGCTGTGAGGGCCGGGATCTGCTTTTCTTAAAGGCGGCTTTTGTTTTGGTCCCTTGCCCAATGTCTT